TACTTATGCGAGCCTTTGCCGGACTAGGAAAATTCATTGCAATTGTCATCGAGATTATTAAACAAATAAGCTTATTATTTGTCACGTTAGCAGCCATTGTCATGGTAGGCACCATTAACTGCTTAGTTAATCGACATATGCATAATTATCACGATAAATACAACATTTTCTGATGCAAAAATCTTTAGATCTTTGCCAATTCCCTATTTGTGCTCCTGAGAGATACCGATCCCCAAAATTTGGTTTCACAGTACTCAGGAAATATCACTAATTCTACAAATGGTGAAGCTATAGGATCCATTACCTTGACGGAAACACCGTCTGATTCTACTAACAATTGGGTAAGACTTGATTGGTCTGTGTTGGCCACATATTCTTTTTTGGGAATTGGTTGGGACGGAGTTTCAGCTTTTGAGCCAACTCTACCACTAGCGATTATGAAGATTATGTTTAGTTTTCTAGCAGTAATCCTGCTCCTTAATGTACTGATTGGTAGGTACCGCCTGGTATCATTAGATCATTATGTAAATAATCACTAAAATTCCATTTTTCTTTCTAATTGATTTTTAAAAATCCAAAGGTTTGATAACCTATGTCTTTAGTGATGGTTTACTAGTTGCTAGGCAAGCGTTCTTACGTCAACGCGCCGAACTCATAGCGGAGATTGAATTGTTTATATTAACACCAGCACAACGTCAAAACGTCGACTGGTTTCCGCATTTAGTATATTATGAGACGCACGCCGATTACGTAAATGATTGGAGACAAAAATTAGATCAAGAGGAGCGAGGCACAGTCGATGTGGATTTTGTGCGAAAGGAGTTACAATTTGTTAAGGAAGAATTGCAAAGGGACTTGAAAGAATTAAAAAATTTAGGAAGTTAAAAAATTATTATAGAAAATTATTAATTTAATAATTTGTGTATTTTTATTGCTTTAACTAGTTGCCTTGTCTACACTTTAATGAAGAATTTTCATTAGATAGATGCATACAAGATTCGATTAGATATTTTAGCACAAATAGTGACGTCGAAAATAGACTCAATTTATGAAAACAGTTATTAATAAATAATATAACCAAAAAAAAAAAGAAAACGTTTAAATATATTAAAAGTTGCAAATATTGAAATGTATACGGCTAATAAAAACACGTATTAGTTTTATTGATCTTCAATGCAAAGATTATTAGTACTGTACACGGAGAAATTTACAGCTAAATCTTATCGGTGCACCTCTTAAGTGCGTAACACCTTGAAATAAAATTTTGAATATTCTTTTTGACAATAAAATATAATATTATCGCTATTGTAAGATATAAATGTATATAATAATAATAATAATAAATTATTTTTCTATTGATAAAAATAACAAATTAAATAAATAAATAAGAAACAGATTTTAACAAATAATAATATCAAACAAATATACAATGCTATTTACAGGTCTAGATAAGTCAAGACTCATTTGCCTTTTATTTGTTTGCGCGACTCAAATTGTCGGAACCTTGGTTACAATATTGTATTACTGTATTTGGTTTTCTTAGTACGTATACGTGAATATTTTTATTAATGCGCAGTAAAAGAATAGGACAATAAATTGCGCAGTAAATGATTAGGACAATAAATTGCGCAGTAAAAAATATTCGAGTTAACCATTTAAGGGAATACGCCGATTGGTGGCGGTGTTTTCGAAATAAGTAATTTAAGGCACACTCAATGATTTTCTCATTTCATCTCAAATTCTTAACACGCAAAAATGTCTGAAGCTACCGTTTCTTCTATTAAACCCTCGAACGCATTGCCTTTCATACCTTCATACTTACGAAATACACCGCTGGACACATATAATAAAACTGCTAAGGATCCAATATTTTTACCAACTCGGTGGAATGCTGATGATTCCTCTGATTATATTAAAGTCATGGACAATGGATTGGGACTTCGATGCATTGGTAAAATTTAGAATTTGAAAATTCTTAAAGGATTTTAGAATAATATTAACAAATTTGATCATCCAAGGTCCGGGTAGAAATAACTCAGATGCAGCCGCTATAAGGACGGATTTTCCTATTCCTCGTAAAGTTGGTTTCTTTTATTATGAATTGGACATATTAAATAAGGGAGAAAAAGGGTAGGTTGATGCTATAACCTAGAAGTGTTTCTTTTATGCAATCCAAGATAAAATATAATAAATAAATAAATAAATAGAATCAATTCTTTATGTTCAGATTTATTGGACTTGGAATTGGATTGGAACATGTAGATTTGAATAAAATGCCCGGTATGCAACAAAATATTTGCGTTCTTATCTATCTGCATTCTAGGACCACCGATTTCTATAAGGTTTTTTTTTTTTTTTTTGCAGGTTGGGAAAGGTATTCATTGGGATATCATGGTGACAATGGATTGATATACATACAACACCCTAGAGGAAGAGGAAAATCCGTCCTTATAGCGGCTGCATCTGAGTTATTTCTACCCGGACCTTGGATGATCAAATTTGTTAATATTATTCTAAAATCCTTTAAGAATTTTCAAATTCTAAATTTTACCAATGCATCGAAGTCCCAATCCATTGTCCATGACTTTAATATAATCAGAGGAATCATCAGCATTCCACCGAGTTGGTAAAAATATTGGATCCTTAGCAGTTTTATTATATGTGTCCAGCGGTGTATTTCGTAAGTATGAAGGTATGAAAGGCAATGCGTTCGAGGGTTTAATAGAAGAAACGGTAGCTTCAGACATTTTTGCGTGTTAAGAATTTGAGATGAAATGAGAAAATCATTGAGTGTGCCTTAAATTACTTATTTCGAAAACACCGCCACCAATCGGCGTATTCCCTTAAATGGTTAACTCGAATATTTTTTACTGCGCAATTTATTGTCCTAATCATTTACTGCGCAATTTATTGTCCTATTCTTTTACTGCGCATTAATAAAAATATTCACGTATACGTACTAAGAAAACCAAATACAGTAATACAATATTGTAACCAAGGTTCCGACAATTTGAGTCGCGCAAACAAATAAAAGGCAAATGAGTCTTGACTTATCTAGACCTGTAAATAGCATTGTATATTTGTTTGATATTATTATTTGTTAAAATCTGTTTCTTATTTATTTATTTAATTTGTTATTTTTATCAATAGAAAAATAATTTATTATTATTATTATTATATACATTTATATCTTACAATAGCGATAATATTATATTTTATTGTCAAAAAGAATATTCAAAATTTTATTTCAAGGTGTTACGCACTTAAGAGGTGCACCGATAAGATTTAGCTGTAAATTTCTCCGTGTACAGTACTAATAATCTTTGCATTGAAGATCAATAAAACTAATACGTGTTTTTATTAGCCGTATACATTTCAATATTTGCAACTTTTAATATATTTAAACGTTTTCTTTTTTTTTTTGGTTATATTATTTATTAATAACTGTTTTCATAAATTGAGTCTATTTTCGACGTCACTATTTGTGCTAAAATATCTAATCGAATCTTGTATGCATCTATCTAATGAAAATTCTTCATTAAAGTGTAGACAAGGCAACTAGTTAAAGCAATAAAAATACACAAATTATTAAATTAATAATTTTCTATAATAATTTTTTAACTTCCTAAATTTTTTAATTCTTTCAAGTCCCTTTGCAATTCTTCCTTAACAAATTGTAACTCCTTTCGCACAAAATCCACATCGACTGTGCCTCGCTCCTCTTGATCTAATTTTTGTCTCCAATCATTTACGTAATCGGCGTGCGTCTCATAATATACTAAATGCGGAAACCAGTCGACGTTTTGACGTTGTGCTGGTGTTAATATAAACAATTCAATCTCCGCTATGAGTTCGGCGCGTTGACGTAAGAACGCTTGCCTAGCAACTAGTAAACCATCACTAAAGACATAGGTTATCAAACCTTTGGATTTTTAAAAATCAATTAGAAAGAAAAATGGAATTTTAGTGATTATTTACATAATGATCTAATGATACCAGGCGGTACCTACCAATCAGTACATTAAGGAGCAGGATTACTGCTAGAAAACTAAACATAATCTTCATAATCGCTAGTGGTAGAGTTGGCTCAAAAGCTGAAACTCCGTCCCAACCAATTCCCAAAAAAGAATATGTGGCCAACACAGACCAATCAAGTCTTACCCAATTGTTAGTAGAATCAGACGGTGTTTCCGTCAAGGTAATGGATCCTATAGCTTCACCATTTGTAGAATTAGTGATATTTCCTGAGTACTGTGAAACCAAATTTTGGGGATCGGTATCTCTCAGGAGCACAAATAGGGAATTGGCAAAGATCTAAAGATTTTTGCATCAGAAAATGTTGTATTTATCGTGATAATTATGCATATGTCGATTAACTAAGCAGTTAATGGTGCCTACCATGACAATGGCTGCTAACGTGACAAATAATAAGCTTATTTGTTTAATAATCTCGATGACAATTGCAATGAATTTTCCTAGTCCGGCAAAGGCTCGCATAAGTA